CCCCACCTTGTTGGCCGTTTCCTCCTGCCAAGGCGCTGCCATCCCGACACGCCCTCACATGGCATAAGGGACACAGCCCGCCCTGCCATGGGGAGCCGAGGCCGTGGGCTACGGCTGGGGTTGGCCAGGCCACTCCAGGTGGGGTGTTATTGCAGCCCCAGAGGTGGTCCCAGGGCCTGCTGGGGTGCAAGGCTGGGCCTGATCCCTCTGCCTGGTGACAGGAGCCGTGTGTGGGCTGAGCCATGCCTGCTGCCCACGGCCACCAGCAAGCTCTCGGGCGCGGTGGAGCAGTGGCTGAGTGCGGCCGAGCGGCTGTACGGGCCCTACATGTGGGGCAGGTACGTCCCTGCACAGGGCCAGCGTGGTATCCCCAGGCCTGGGCTCGGGTCGGGGGTCCCTCCAGAGCAGGAAGCAGGAGCCTGCCCCATCTCCGAGGTGGAGGCCAGGCTTCCTGCAGGGGCTGGGCTGTCCACGCCTGGGCAGAGGGGTGGGGTCCTGCTGGGACAGCAGCCCCTGCCTTTCACCGCCACCCCGTGCACACAGGTACGACATCGTCTTCCTGCCCCCGTCCTTTCCCATCGTGGCCATGGAGAACCCCTGCCTCACCTTCATCATCTCCTCCATTCTGGAGAGCGATGAGTTCCTGGTTATTGATGTCATCCATGAGGTGGCCCACAGCTGGTTCGGCAACGCCGTCACCAACGCCACGTGGGAGGAGATGTGGCTGAGTGAGGGCCTGGCCACCTACGCCCAGCGCCGCATCACCACAGAGACCTACGGTACCACCCCGGGGCGGGCCTGGCGGGCCCTAAGCAGGGCGAGCGCCTCTGGCCTCTGGTGTGCACCTGCCCTGTGCACCCAGCCATCCCTTTGGCACAGTTTCCCAGGGCAGGGGCCGGCCGGGGCGGCACCACAGTGCCCGCTGCAGGTGCTCAGTGGCCTTTCTGCCTCACTCCCGCCTCATCCCCTCTCCCCGCCCCCCGGCCCCTGACCGTCAGGTGCTGCCTTCACTTGTCTGGAGACTGCCTTCCGCCTGGACGCCCTGCACAGGCAGATGAGGCTGCTGGGGGAGGACAGCCCGGTCAGCAAGCTACAGGCCAAGCTGGAGCCAGGTACCCCACAGGGCCCGCCTGCCACGACTGCACCGGGGCCTCCTCTCCTGCTCTGGCCGGGCTCCTCTGCCCCAGGTCCCTGCCATGGCCGGACTGGGCGCCCCAGCCCTGGAAGGCCTCCCAGGCTTCCGACTGTGTCGCCGTGGTGCGTGGGCCGTGGCTCCTGAGCCCCCAGGCAGTGTCAGCGCTCTCCTGGATGTGAGGAGCGGAGGCCCCGGTCCCTGCTCCCTGGCCCCTGAGCACCGCCTACCTCCGCCATGGGCAGGGGCCAGGTGCAGCCCGGACCAGGTGTGTGCCTCACAGGTGTGAACCCCAGCCACCTGATGAACCTGTTCACCTACGAGAAGGGCTACTGCTTCGTGTACTACCTGTCCCAACTCTGCGGGGGCCCCCAGCGCTTTGATGGCTTTCTCCGAGTGAGTAGCCCCTGCCCAGCAGCCCCTGCCCAGCTCGCCGGGCCGCCCTCCTGTTGCCGGGGCTGCAGTTGGTGGGGCCTAGAGCCAGCTAGCATGCAGCCTGCTGGGTGTCACCCCTTCCTCACCCGCTCCCCACCTCAGTCACCCAGCAGGGCTGCGTGCTGGCGCGGCTGCTCCCTCCGTGCACGCCGCACGCCGGGCACCACACCCG